TCTCTCATTCTCTCTGTCTCAAATAAATAAATAAAATCTTTTAAAAAAAAAAAAAAAAGAAAATTATGTCATTTATTAATATAATAAAACACATAATTTTATTTTGTGATATAGAATATATACTTATACACCAGGAAAAATGCAAAGAATGATATGAAAATACCATCATTCATAAAGTGTCACAACTGAAAATTACTATAAAAGATGAGGAAATAGCTTTCATCAAACTATTTTCTCCAAAGCAATACAGTTACCTTATACAGAGTAACACTTTGATTCTTATAAATGGCTTTTCTTTCATTATACTCATTCTCTTTATTTCATGTGTCTGATTTATTAGAGTTTAGGATCAGACTTTTGTTCCTGGTCCTTTTGATGGTGTTATTTTTTTTTCCATTTTATTCATGATTTCATACATACTTTGGGGCTTACATTATCATGAATAGTCTAAGGTATATGAGCAATGAGAATGAACGCGATCTGCATTATCTATATTCTGAGAGTGCTCAGGGGTTTTATCCATAGCCCAGTGAGCCTTTAGTTATTACTTCTTGTGGTGAGTGCTGAGGTGTGCCTTCAGGTTTATACATTTTTAATGTATCAGTTAGGAACCAGTTCTCCTTTATACAGTGACCAACCTATATGGCCTCTATGAATTTTTCTGTTACTTTGTTTCTCCCAGGTGTATACAATGTTTTCAAATCCCATGATTATTTTATGGTTTTGTTTCCATTGTTTATGCCTCTTTAAAAAAAAAAAGTTTTTGGGGGTGCCTGACTGGCGCAGTTTCTTGAGCGTCCAACTCTGGATTTCGCTCCAATTGATCATGGTATCTCCCCTGCCAGGTAAGTATGGATTTCGCTCCAATTGAGACCAAGCCCCACATCAGGCTCCCTGCTCAGCATGGACCCCCCCACCCCCGCAAACAAACAAATAAACAAATAAATAAATAAATAAAGAGGGTTTTCCCCCCCTTCCCTTTTAGTATAGTTTCAGGAGGGAATGATATTAGATAATGTGTTCAGTCCATCATCCTAACCTAAAAACTGTTGAATAAATTTAGAATAACATTTATCTATGAAACTTTTTCACTCTGCATATATCTGCATATAAAAATTTAAAATAATTCTAGTGGAGACTTAAAATTACATTTGTTCACATATTGTTATATCTTTGACACAACCCTGTGTAATATTTATACGAAAATAGGTATCGCTAAATGTCTTGGTAATTTAGGACTGTTGAGATAAAGAGTTAAGAGACTTAGATCTTAGGGGCGCCTGGGTGGCTCAGTCAGTTAAGCGTCTGACTTTGGCTCAGGTCTTGATCTCAGGATCCTGGCAGGCTCCACACTCAGCAGGGAGTCTGCTTCTCCTTCTCCCCCTCCCTCTGTCCTTCTCCCCCCAACACCCTCCACCCGCCTCCCCCTAATCGCGCATGTGCACATGCTCTCTCCCTCTCTTTCTCAAATAAATAAAATCTTTAAAAAAAAGGAGAGAGATCTAGATCTTAATTTGAACTCTTTCTCCTACCAGTTTTGCTTTCCTGAACACAGTCTCTCTAAAATTCAGTTTCTTCATAATGGAAGGCAGTAATACCTACTTCATAGGATTGTTGCTGCATTTGATCTGTCTTGATCTGTCACAGGGCTTGGCACATGGTAGTCACTAAATATTTTTTCCTTCAGTCTCTCCTGCCTGCCCTCCCTTCCCTTTTAGTCTGCATTTGTCACACATAGCTTCTTTAGACCTTGAATTTTTTGTTTGAATAAGATGGTTGTGGTCCCTTTAAATAATCCTTCTACAACTTTAAGGGAAGTAGTAAGAGAATATACTGTAGGTATAGTGAAGGTAACTGAATATATAGGTCTCAAAAGGGAGAGAGGGCTGGAAATGTAGATTTTGGGTATCATCAGAAAGTTGATGATAATTGAAACTATGGTGGGTTGATGAGACTGTCCAGGAACAAAGCAGATAACATGATAATTTGAAATATAAAGCATAGGATACTTGATGATTTCTTCTTGTCATATTTATGTAAGTACAACCAGGAATATGTGATGTTCAGTAGTGATTAAAATAATTATCTTGATTTCTGTGATATTTATTTAAAACTTTAAAATTCACAGGTTGCATATGGCCAAGTTCTTGGAGTTATAGGATATTCACTACTTCCTCTCATTGTAATAGCCCCTATACTTTTGGTGGTTGGATCATTTGAAGTGGTATCTACACTTATAAAAGTAAGTAGTGTATATTATAAAAAGTAATTAACGGTTTTCCAGGAACAAAAGTATACTAGTTATCTGCCTAAGAAGATTGTAATCTGTAACAATCAAACATTTTTAAGGGTTTTGGAATAGTGATCTCACTCACTGATTTTACCAATTGTGTATCTTTTATTTTCCCATTTTGATCGCCAAAAATTATAATGTATGTATAGGGGTGAGTAAAGAACAAAGAGCAAATAAGGCTACAGGATACTACACTCCGATAATTTTTTTAGTGATGAATTTTTCTTCTCTGTGTTTATAATACAACTTCATGTGACTTAGATTTTGTGGAAGATATTTATTTAAAATTTTACCGGACATAAATAACTTACTCCTATTTGAATAATAACTGCCTTATCAAATATGATAGACATGGTTGTACTAAGTTGGCTTTTCTGTATTGTAGAGATCAGGATTTCTTTATGCTGTGTTAAATTTAATACATTAACATATAGACCCATATTAAATATTTAATGATAATATTAAGTATTAATAAGTAGTAAAATAACTTAAATTTTGGTATTTATTAGTTTTGAACAACTCTCAGAAATAAATGACTGCTTTAGCGTATGTATGTATATTATACAATGAATGTAATTTTTTTCTTTATGAAAAATTATAGAACTTCTTAAGGCTACCACTTTCAGAACTGCCATTATGTAGCCTTCACATTAAAGTATTTGTTTTTAAGTAGAGCCACTTAATTTTTTATGATACACGGTTTTATTTAAAGTTGATTACTAATTCAAATATGAAAGAAATGATTCATTTTAGAATTGAGTAACTACAGGCTAATACTGACATATAAGCACTGGGTATTAAAAAGTGTGGATTTTGGAACCATTCAGTTCTAAATTCAAATTCTGGTTCTTCCACTTACCTACTGCCTCCCTTGGGGGATATCTTCTCTTACCCTCCTCTGCAAACTGGGAATCTTGACAACTAATTTTTAGGGTCTGTTATCTAGATGGTAAAGGATATATGCTTGATACAGAGTAGGCACTCAAGCGGTAGCTGTTGTCATTACAAATGTTATGAAAGAATATTTTGAGAACATCTTTGTATGTTAGAACTGCATGAACATTTTAGAGACCAAGTAGAATATCATTCTTTTCTCTCCATTCTAATCTTAATTTTTTTTTTTTTTTTTTGATTGGCATTATTAGCACTTAGCTTACAAGTCTTGCAGTGCAGAAGCTAGCCCCATTGCTGGCATTTAATTATCTAGCTTTAGTGAACATACCATTTTACTGAATCATTCGGGATCCTTCCTGTTTGTGTGTTGTTTTAACTTGGATTAAAGTCTGTTTGAATACTTCTGAGACTACTCCCCAAATTGATAAAACTGTGTGTCCTCTGGTCACTTAATAATTGAGTTCAGCTAAAAGTTGGTCTTTAATATTCTTTATGCAACTTATGAACGTATTATTACAAAGTGGCAAAGTCTTTTATATCGTTAAAAATTTAGGATATGATTGTTTTAAACTTCAGATTTTTCTTTGCCAAAATTTTTTCCTAGTTGTTTAATCTTCTTTTTATAGTGAGCTATTGTATGTTTGTTTCAGTCCAAGATTTTTTGAGAAATATGTTGCAAAACTCTTGTCATTTAAATCTAGCATTAGAATACAGATTAATCTACCAGCACTATTTTTTAACATTAAATCTCTATAACTCTTACTAATCTTTAACCATTTATTTATAACAAAAAATGTTTGACATACAAAGGCAATTTGATCATCATCTTACATATTTCCCTATACTTTCCTGAAAGTTTAAAATATTTTATAGTTTTTTTGTTTTAATTTAAAAAACACAATAGAAAATTGGACCATCTCAAATACATTTTCAGTCTGCCAATATTTATTTTTGACCTCTCTACCAGTGGTCCTCAAGGGCAGTTTTGCCTCCCAAGGACATTTGGCCATGTCTGGAGACATTTTTGGGTGTCGCAAATGAGTTAGGAGTGGAATCTTACTAGTGGTGTGTGTGGGTAGAGGCCAGGGATACTGCCACAAATCCTACAATGCACAGGACAGCTTCCAAGAGCAATTATCCAGCCCCAAAATGTCAGTAGGGCGAGGCTGAGAAATCCTGCCCTGTACCATGTCTTTTTCTATCATAGTTTCCCTGATTTCTACCCTTGAAGTTCTTCCTTTCATTTTAGTCTATAAAATGCCTTAGTGACTACTTTAATAAGTACTATATAAATTTCTGGTGGAAATAATTTAAGATTAGGTATGTGTATAATCAGAAAACCATGGTACATTTTATTTAAACTCTTGACCAAAATGTTATTTTTTTCCTCCTTTTTATTTAACCCTATACTTTTACCTATTCCTGGGAAAATGCTGTTATACTTAATAAACATTGTGTAAAATTTTCACTTAGTCTGTTTTCCTACTTCTTAGAAGAAGAAACAGGAAAAGGTTAACTTTGTAATAATCAGTTCATTTTTCTTTCAGCAACCAAATTTCTTGAAGCAGTTGGCCAAAAGCTGCCTTATCTTAAATCACCAGGGACACTGTTAAAAAGACTGATATTAAGACCCTTCCCTTAGTGATTTTGATTCAGCAGAGCTAGAGTGAATCCCAAGATTCTTTTTTTTTTTTTTTAAGATTTTATTTTTAAGTGATCTCCACACCCAATGTGGGGCTCAAACTCAAAACCCCGAGATCAAGAGTCTCATGCTCCACCAAGTGAGCCAGCCAGGCACCCCTTAGGATGCTCTTTTTAATAGGCACCCCAAGTGATTCCTATGATGAAACAAGTTTGATAACAAAAGATTTCATTTGCATAAGACAAGGAACATAGCAAGGACAAACATTCTTAATAATTTTAAACATTCTCAGTAAGTTTTACTATTTATCACAGTTGGTTGTCAGGGTTGTTTTAAGAAAATACCGTAAATGTGACTTTACTCTCTGATACCCAAAATGTTAATTGAATTGCTAATATACTGCCTTTTGTCTTTTTTGTTTGTTTTTTAAAGCTGTTTGGTGTGTTTTGGGCTGCCTACAGTGCTGCTTCATTGTTAGTGGGTGAAGAATTCAAGACCAAAAAGCCTCTCCTGATTTATCCAATCTTTTTACTATACATTTATTTTTTGTCCTTATATACTGGGGTGTGATCTAAGTCATATATGAGTAGAAGAAGACAATGTTACATTTGTGTGTAGTCTGGGAATTCTTGCTGAGGTGATTGCAGAAAACCTGTTGCTGATAAAATTTTACATGTTCTACATGTAAAGGCAGGTTTGAGGTCTTTTTAAAACCATATTTTTGGTATTTAATTAAGCATTTGCAGTTATCTGGATTTTTTTTTTTTTTTTTTTGGTCAGAATTCCAAATTCTGTTTGATTCTTCATATTCCAGTGAATAAAGTATAAAAGCATTGTGTTTTTAAGATTGTGTCAATATTCACCTAAAAACTTGTGCCAAAAGCATCTGGAACGGTAATTATATTTCATTCAAAGGGTAAATATGGCAGCATCCTGATAATCTAAAAGTGCAATTTTTTTTCTTTAAAAGGTTTTCTCCTGCATCACAGATCCTGTAGATATATATTTATATTTATACATATATATTTATGAAATAATTCTTATTATTCACAAAATATATTTCTGAATAGCCTAAAAGTTAAGATATTTTAAATCTCATGCTTAACCATTCTTTAATTTGGCCATTAATTTTTTTATTTATCAATTCAAATTTGTTTTTTAAATTGTGTATAATTTAAAAAGTCTCATACATGCTTCAGTATGTCCTTATTAAGAAGTCCAACTAAAACTAATTTTAACAGTTGCTGATGTAGGTTTGCTTGGGTGTGCTCTGAAAAACCTTTTTTGAATGCCTAAATATCTGATTTCAGTTTCTGTTTATCTTTCTGACCAAAGGAACAGAGGTATAGTGGATATGGCATTATTATCATTGTTAATATGTAGAAAAAATAGTAATATTTATAGCATCAGTAAATATTTTTAAGTGGTACTCCTAAGTCATAAAAGTTGCCGAAAAGAGACCTTTAAAATCTTGTGGTCCTGAACAATGTTAAACGAAGTAGAAAAAAATAAAATGCTTCCCAGCTGTGTGTTTTGTTTTATAACACCTTGTCCTGTATTACTAACAAGTATCAGGTACTCTTTAACAAATGTACATTATTTGCTAAGCCCTAAGAAATTTTATTTTTTTTTTATTTTTATAATTTTTTTTTTTTAAGATTTT